GAGGTCACGGCGGCGCGCCGGGGGGGCGGGGCGGCCGGGGGAGCGATTTAAAGGGACAATGTCCCCCGAGCGGTGGAGGCGGCGGCAGCTGAGGAGGCCGCGCCACCGGCACCGGGAGCGACAGCGGCGGTAGCGGCAGCGACGGCCGCACCGAGGAGGGGAGCTCCGTGCCCCGGCACCCAGCCGGCGGCGACGCCTCCCCGGTGAGGCCCGGCCCGGCCTGGGGAGCCCGCGGGCGGGGCGGAGCCGGAGCGGGGAGGGGGAGGCCTCGGCCGGGCCGGGCCAGGCGGGACCCCCCGGAGCGGGGGGCGGGGCGGGCCTACAGGGGCGGGGCCTGTCCGGGGGCGGGGCCGCTCGGGTGGGGGGGGGGCGGGGGGGTCTTCGGGCAGGTGTCTCCCCCTACCTCGGCGCGTCCCGCGGGGTCTCCCGCCCCGAGGTGCACGGGCGAAGGGCGCCTCCCCGGGACCCCGGCCCCCCGAGGAGTGCAGCAGCCCAGCGCAGCCACCAGCTCTGCGACCCCTGGGGGACGTCTGGGCGGGAGACCCCTCCCCAGCTGCCAAAGTGCTCCGAAGTTGCGGTCCAGCCCGTTCCCTGCGGGCAGTGCCCACCCCGTGGGCGCCCGCAGGTGCTTCCTCCAGGCCCGGGCAGGGACCCCCACCAGGACTGCCAGCCCAAGGACGGGCCCCCTGGGAGCCCCTAGGCCCCTGAGGGCAGCGCCTGCAACCAGGCCTGGAGCCCCGGCTCCGCCCCGGTTGCCTGGGCCCGGCCTCCCCATCATCTCCCTGGGGAGGGCGCCTCATTCCTGCCCTTCACTTTCCGCTGTTACCTTGAAGGTATTTATAGGTGGAGAGGACAGCCCCCTTATCTCTGGGGTCCTCATTTCTGGACCAGGAGCCCTATAGGTCCTTTTTGCCCTCGGACCAAAGCAATCTTGATGGAGGTTGCGGGGGATGGAGAAAACAAGGCTGGGTGTGCATGAGGGATAAGGCTGGTGAGAAGTGAAAGGGTTAATGCTGGGGTCACTTGAGGCTGTGTGTGGGGATGAAGGGGTTAATGCTGAAGAGCCCTGAGGTCCTGTGGGGGAGGGGCTGGAGTGTGGGAAAGTGCTGGGGTAGTTAGTAGGGGCCACCTCTTCGAAAAAAGTGAAAGGATGATGCTGGGGGCACTTGAGACAGGGTAAGGGATCAGCATGGACAAGTGGCTGACATTCGAGGAAAGGGAGGCATGGCCATAGGATGTGCATGTGCGGGGAAGCCAGGGTGCAATGGGGGAAAGTGAAGCTGTGTGTGAATGAAGGGAGGAACCTGGGAGAAGTGATAGGGTTAATGATGGAAGAAAAAGTGTCTTAGTGGGTATGAGTAACACTGGGATAAACTGAGGCAGTAAATGATCTGGGTAAAGAGAGGCATTATCCATGGGGAGACTGATGAATGCTGAGGGTAGGGATCATTGGGATACAGGTGTGTGGACAGGGCCTCAGCACCATTTACCTAGCTAGGTTGGATTGGGAGGTAAACTGAGGCAATGAGTTGCAAGGGTCAGGACCGAGGTTTTGAGGAAAGGGAAACTGAGACAGAATCCCTGTCTTATCTCCCCTAAGCACCTCCTCCTCTCTGTCTCTAGACCCACAATGCCTCGCTAAGCCAACCCCGAGCCAAGTGGAGCCAAGCCGAGTGCATCCATGGAGGGACCTCTGGCAGGCGGCCTGGCCGCCCCCGATCGTCCTCGAGGCCCGGAGAGGCTGCCTGGCCCAGCTCCAAGAGAGGACATCGAGGGTGGGGCTGAGGCTGCCGAGGGTGAAGGTAGCATCTTCCGATCTACCCATTACCTGCCTATCACCAAGGAAGGTTCCCGAGATATTCTGGATGGCAGAGGTGGCATTTCTGGTAAGAAGGAACATCCAGTGGGTCCCCAAGGCTCAGAGAGAGCCAGGTCACCCAACCTACCAGGAGCTGAGTTTGGGATTCAGATTCCCCTTGGCTCCACTGCCTTTTCTTTACCCTCTGCTTAGTTTTCCATTCTACAGGTGTGCAAACAGATGCTTTGGGTTCCCAGTGGGTGGCAAGGACTAGGACTGAAACTTGAGTTGGCCCAGCTCTCTCCTCTGAGATGGACACTACTTAGAACCAGATGCCCATCTCAGGACCCTGAGCTCCTGGCACCCACCCCACCTGTCCCGGTGCATACCTCCCTCCCATCAGTCTATCTCAGCTCCCTCTTGCTGTCTTGGTTAAGTCTTGCTTCTGAGCCCTGGGCCAAAACAGCTTGTGCCCTCTAGTGGCGAGGGAGAGAACAGGGTGTCAGGGATACCTGCTACCCCTTTGTGCCTTGATTTACCTTACAAAAGGGTCTATGCACACATTGTCCCCATCTCAAGATTTGTTATTCATTCATTAAATACTGAGCACCTACTATGTGCCAGGCTGTGTTCTAGGTGCTGGGAAAACAGCCATTAACCAAAGAGGCGAGAGTTCCTGCCCCTCCAGGGGCTGCTGTTCTAGAAGGGGAGATGGACAACAAAGAACTAAGCAAATATAAAGGCAGATAGTGACAGAGGCTGTGGAAGTACTAAACAGAGAACCAGAATCACACATAGGGGACCTAGGAGAGCCTCCCTAAGAAAATGGCTTTTGAGTGGAGCACAGAATGAATGGCAGGAAAGGCAGGCCAGGTGGAAGGAACAGCAAGTCCAAAGATCCTGTGGTAGGGAGGAGCCTGGCATATTCAAGACTAGGCAAGATCCTGGTGTGGCTGGAGAATCTCTCCCTTCATCTCCTCGCCCTGCCTCCAAAGGCTTTGGTTCCCAGGAACTTCCAAGCACCTCATTAGCGGTTTTCGACCTGTCAAGCCCTTTGCGTGATAATTTCATATCACTCTTTGAAGAACAGGTGAGGTATCCTTCGCTATTATTATCACATGTTAGAGATGGGAGAACAGACCTTGAAGGGTGAAATAAGTTGCCCAAGATGACAAAGCCAGGCAGTGATGTGGCTTGACAGCGTCATCCTTAGCCACGGTGCCTTACTCATCCTTGAGGCTCTTTGACCTGTCCCTGCCCATCAGCACCTCTTACAATGCTCCAGTATTTATAGAACACCTTCATGGGACCAAGTGTACACTGTCCCTGCCATCATGGACCCTACTGTCTGGAGCAGGTGAGACAGATACCACCAGGTGTAAGGACATAGTCACTGAGGTGTGAAGGAAGATGCACCCAGCCCAGCCTGGGGGCATCCAGGAGTTCTTCAGAAAGTGAAAGGTGTGGGATGAGGGACAGTAAGCCCAACTACCGGGACAGAGGGTGAGTCCAGTACCTTAGCAGTCACCTCTTCCAGGCCCAGAGAGCAGCAGGATCTTGTCTAGGTCACACAGCTAGCCAGGACAGGATCAGGCCTGGACTTTATAGGAATCTGCAGGAAGAGGCTCTGGGATCCTGGGATCCACTATAGGTCTGGCTCTGAGGGATTGGGCATTTCTTCTCTACCTGGCAGACACCCCAGATCTGGAGAGAGGGGGAAAAGTAAGTAGGTAAGTGTGACCTCACTCTCCCTGGGGATCAACCAGAGATTCATAAATGTACCTGTTTTACATCCTAGGGATGCCAGGTGGTGGCACACACCTGTAATTCTAGCACTCGGGAGGCTGAGGCAGGAGTTCAAGACCAGCCTGAACTACATAGCAAGACCCTGTCTCAATACATAAATAAACAAACAAACAAATAAATAAATAACAGCAGGGTGGAGATATAGCCACCAAAGAAAGTCAGGCCCACCCTTCATTGTCTCCCTGAGCAAGTGGGGGTACAGGATAGGGGTGGCTGGACTCGAAGTGGGATTGTGGCCTGGAGGTCAGAGGAAGGCCTGGGCTTTGGACACTGTGTCTCCTCCTGTCCTTTTGGCTGCTTGACCGCCCCCTTCTCAGACTCAGGCACCTGCCCTGAGAGTCTTGTGATGCCTAAAAATAGGAACAGCCTCTGGGACTGCTACTCCACCCCAAAGCCTGGGCCCTCCCTCATCCACACTCAGCCCTTGGGAACCCCCAAGGACTCCCTGGAGTGGCCATCTCCAGATCCCTCTGCCTAGACAAGGACATGTCCACTGCCTGCTTTGTCTTCCATTATGTCTGTTGGCTGGGAGCCTCCTGGCTCCCCACAGCTGCTGCCCAAAATGCCTCTCAGATTGGGCATCCCAGGTATGGCAAAGTTGGGGGCAGGGAGAGGGGCTTAGACATTCTGCATGGATTGATGAAGAGTCTGGAGCACGCTTAGCATTGTGCCGGAGACAGGGCACCCAAGGACAAATGGCTCATCATTTCTGCCCTTATGGGGCCTCAGGCTAGGGAGGATATCAACATGGAGTGAGCTGGCCTGAGGCTCTGAGTCCAGCCTCCAGCTTCAACCCTGGGTCATCAAGGAGCTAACCCCAAGCCCCCAGGAGCCCCACCTCCCTTCTTTCTCTCCACCACTTGCTTCTCTGGATGGAATATTTACTGTGATCTTGTTGGCATCCATCGCTGGCCCTGCAAGAATGGGTAGGTGGCTGTTCCAGTTGTACAGAGGAGGAAACCGAGGCTTGGAGCGGGCAAGGCAAGCCTTTCAGATCCCACTGCTGGGCCTTGAACTGGGACTTGACTGGCTCCAAAGTCTAGATTCTTGGCCACTCTGCTGAGCTGTCTGGTTTGGGGTTCAAGTTGCTCATGGACACATCCTTTTCTCATTTGCAACCCCTCCCAGGGACCCCAGATGGCAGGAGCCAATGAGGGGGCCTTGGTATGATCACCGCCTACGGTTGCATCCCAGCCACCTTATGTGACCCACAGGTACATCTGGATCCCCATCAGTGGGGAGGCCTCTGGGCAAAGCTCCCACCTCCAACGTGTCTCCAACACAGGTTCCACTTGGCCTCCTTCCTCCGAAGTTGCTGCCACTAAAAATAGGAGCCTCACTGGAGCTGCTCAGACAAAGAGGCCAATGTGGCCCCCTGGCTCTCGGAATTCTTAGACAACGGCCATCACAGAATCATCAGATCTGGGACGCCCAGAATCTGAGGACCTTGGGGTCCCAGGATCTCAGAAGCAGGAAACCCAGGACCCTCAGACCCCCACTTCTAGGGTGTGCTGGGGCTGGTTACACATGAATCAGTCGTCCTCAAAAGAAGCTTGCATCTGTGACTCGCGTGCCCTCAAGAGACCCTGTTTCTTGGGGTTGTGCTTCCTTGGCTGGTCCAGACCTCACTTTCCCAGCCATCTCACCCTGACACCCCACCCTAACTTCAGCCCTGGCACCCAATCCCTGCTCCCTAACCATCCACCCCCATGGTTCTCAAATGGGGGTAACTGACCCCTGCTCCGGGGATATGTTGGTCACATCTGGAGATGTTCTTGGCGGTCATGACTGCGGGAGTGGGAGATGGTGGCATCTAGGGGGTGCTTCTCAGCATCCTACAGTGCAAGGCTACCCCCACCCTCCCCTCCCCTTCCGTGCCAGGTCACCGTCACGGCCCTCATCTCAGGCTCAGCGGCCCTCAGACAACAATCACACATTCACGATCATCCCCCCCTTTTCCATTCTCATTCCTTGACGCCCAACGGTCAGCTCTCAAGTTCCAGGAAAAATTGGGTGGTGCAAGATTGGAAAAAAGCAATAGCCCCGGCCCTTGCCCTCTTTCTGGACCTTCTGCAAATTGAGGCTAATCCAGCAATTGCATCTGTCGGGCCCTGGCTAGGGCACAAGTTCCCCCAGTGTGTTAACCTTGGCCCAGACAATTGGCCTGCTCCCCGATTGGCAGGCTCGCCTGTGGCAGGCAAGCATGGCAGGCAGAGAGACGCAGGCCAGGATTCCTGTGGTCGCTCCAGGCATTGGCTCAGCAGGCAGATAATGGAGAGTTGGCTCTATCTGTGTTGGGGGATTCCCAGGAAGGAATTCCATCCTAGGATCTGGGCCTGGAACAGGGTCCACAAGGCAGCGATGGGCCCTGCATAGCTTGTAGTCTGGACCGACTCCTCTTCTATCACCTGGCATGTATTTGTGGAACACTTGTGTGCCAGGTGCTGCAATGCTAAGTGAACAAGGCTGAGAGTCCTGCTCTGGTGGGACTAAGGTGTTTGCAGGGGACGGAGACAGTCATTCAGAGAGGCAACCTGGCAGTCTCTGGGGGTACTAAGAAAGCAATGAAACACGTGCTGAGAGAGCAAATAATAGGAGATTCCTTGAGTAGGTGGCTCAGAGAGGGTGCTCTGGGCAAGTACAAAGGCTCTGAGGCTGGAGAGAGCTAGTTGGGCTTGAGGTTTCCCAAGAGGGGCATGCAGTCAGGGCAGAGGCATCAAGGGGCCAGGAGAGGCAGAAGTTGGAGAAACCAGTCAACATCCAACCTCCTAGGGCAGTGATGGCGAACTTTTAGAGCTTTAATGATAACAAATACCTCGCTATGGCACGTGTGCCATAGATTTGCCGCCACTGTCCTAGAGCCTTGTGGTGGCACTGGGAAGCTGGCTTTTCCTGTAAACATAATGAGAGGCCAGCTGAGTTTTTACCAAGGTGTGACTTTAAAACCTCACCCTGGTTGCTGGGCAGGAGGGAAGGAGAGGAGGGCTGGAAGGTAGCAAGCCCCTGGGATCCCCCAGGAGACCTATGGGGACTCCTACAAAGAAAGCCCTTTTAGGGCTCAGGAATACAGAGGCCAAAGGCCTCTCAGGGAGAGGGGCTGGAAGCCAGCAGGGCCTTTCTGAGGTGTCCTGCAGGCCTCCAAAAGCTGGGGTGTGGAGCCCCAGCCAGGGGGACCCCAGCCCCTCAGGGTCTCCCCTCTCTGTTGCAGACGGGCAGCCCTATCCCGGCCTCAGCGAAGCCCTCCCCCGTGCCACCTCCGCCACCCATCGGATCAGCAGCTGGTGAGTGCCATGCTGGCCCTGACCTCAGGGAGGGCAGGGGGGCCCAGGCCTGAGAGAAGCCCCCGGGAAATGAGAAGGGGACAGGAGGGAATCAGGAGGTTAGGCAGGAGGAGGTGACTCCCAGCAGGCAAGCCCCTGGGTGTGTGTGCTGGGGCGGAGGGAGGTCAGGCATGAACACAGGTGGTCAACTCTCATTATCTCTGCCAGGAGCAGGGCCAAAGAGGCATGAGCCTGCAGGGTGGACCCTTGGGGTCCTGTCTCTCTGCCAGGTGACCCTTAGAATGATGTTAGGCCTCTCTGAGCCTCAGTTTCCTTATCTGCAAAATAGAGCCATAAGATGCGTCTCACACATTTGCCTTGAGAACCCAAGGGGCCTTGGGTGAAAGCAGGAGTCAAGCCCATTGCTAACAGCCATTACCTTTCATTAGGCAACACGGCAGGGGCCAGTGTATAATAATCTTACCAGCGTTTGGAACTAATCATAACTGCTAGGTGCTGAGCTCTTGGCAGGTGTTTATCCCACTGAATCTTTGCCATAACCCTGGGAGGATGATCCTGTTCATATCACATGTCACAGATGGGTCTGAGAGGAGATTCTGTGGTCTCTGTTCTATCTGACTGGGGAAACCAATTCTTCTTCTGTTTCATGGCCACAATCCATATCCCCTCAGGAAGGCAGGATCTTAAAAATGAAGGAAGAAAAAAGAAAAACATGAAGGAAGAGGGCTGGGGATTTAGCTCAGTGGTTCCACCGCCTGCCTTGCAAGCACAAGGTACCGAGTTCGATCCCTGGTACCAAAAAAAAAATGAAGGGAGAACTGACCAGGTACAGTCACAGTGAGAACTTACATTGGTCACAGGCAACAGGTGAAGCAAAGTGCTTCTCTGCACTACAAGTTGTGCCTTTCTTCAGCTTATATCTTGCAGGATCAGGGTCCCCGTTTGAAAGACTGTGGTGAGCATTAAAAAAAAAAATTTTTTTTAGGGCCAGGGATTTAGCTCAGTAGCACCACGCCTGCCTCGCAAGCACAAGGTCCTGAGTTTGATCCCCAGTACCAAAAAAAATTTTTTTTGCTGTGCTGGGATCGAACCCAGGGCCCCATGCATGCCAGGCAAGAGCTCTAACACAAAGCTACACCCCCACCCTTGCAAGTATTTAAATAAACACCATGATGTTTTCACTGATGTCAACTGTAAAAAAGCTCCTTACCCATGTGTAGTGCTGCATGCCTGTCATCCCAGCTACTCAGGAGGCTGAGGCAGGAGGGTCACAAGTTCAAGCCCAGCTCAGGCAAATTAGTGACTGAGCAAAGCCCTATCTCAAAATGAAAAAATTTTAAAAGGGTTTTGGGTGTAGATCAATGTTAGAATGCTTAGCTAGCATGTGCAAGACCCTAGATTCAATCCCCAGTACTGAAAAAAAAAAAAACCTCCTTAGACATTGTATTAGAGTGAGGAGGTTCCTGGTTCTTGAAATTCTTACCCATTTTGAGGTTTGGAAAACTGAGGCCCAGGGAAGTTGCTTTGTTTCCTCCACCCAGGCCCCAGTGACTTGAGAAGGTCAAGGTCACTGGGGCCAGCAGGTGAGCACAGACCATCAACTACCCCTGACTCTGCCCTTCCAAGAGGGGCAATGTGGGGAGCAGATGCATCTTTTGAATTGTTCTGCTGCAAAGTTAACTTTTGCCAAATTTGGGTGAGAGGTGTAATTAATTAAAATCGCCCCAGATTGGGAAGGATTAAGATAAGAGCAGCCTGGAACACAGGTCAGAGTCTTGAGTCCTCCTGGGGGAAAGATGAAGGGTGACGTTGCCACTAGACCTGGGGATGTGCCTTAGAGGCTGCCCCATGCCCCTGTGTTTGCACATTTCCCCGTGGTGCAGTGGGTCCGGGCTATGTGGACATCCTAGACTCCAACCTGACTTTTGACCCCATAGTTCTAGAAGAGCTGGGTTTGATAGTGCATGCCTGTTATCCCAGCACTCAGGAGCCTGAGACAGGAGGATTGCTGCAAGTTTGAGGCCAGCCTGGACTACATAGCAAGACCCTGTCTCAAAAAAACAAACAAAAACAATAGTTCTAGAAGGGCCCTTACTAGAAGTCCCTCCCCTTACCCCCATATGCCTAGCCTTGCTGAAGTCACCCTTGGGCTGGATCTCTGAGGCCTGCCTCAGATGACCTGGGAGGACTCCCCACCATCTCTACTCTAGGAAGGGAAACTGAGGTCCATGGCTAACTTGTCCCCATTTGGCACTTCCTTACAGCTGCTGGGATGGAGGCAGCCTGGACTTCCGGCCGGGCTCCCCACCACCCCACTTACTGGGTCCTTTCCCTGGCCCCCCTGATGGCCGGGGGCCCTGGGAGCACCCCCTGGTCCAGGAGGCTGGGGAAGGCATCCCATCTGAGCCGAGCTTTGAGGACTCAGTCATTTTGAGAACCATGAAACCCCATGCTGAGTTTGACGGCTCTAGGAAGTTCTTGCAGCACCAGGGTGAACTGAAGCTCTTAGAGAAGGCCCCCCAGGGCCAACCCAGGTTTGACTGGCTCCAAGACAGGAAGGAGCAAGGGCCTCTGCAGGATGCAGGGATGCACCTGGACCTGTGTCCCCAACCACCTCCCCTAGCCTCCTCCGGGAGCGTGATCGTGCCAGTGGAAGACACCCCTAAGACCTTGGACGTGGGGGTGGTGAGCACCAGAGAAGACCTGGAAGGACTGGCCCAGCCCTCTGAGTGGGGGCTGCCCACTGTAGCCTCAGAAGTGGCCATGCAGACGTGGATGGTGAACTCGGAGGCATCGGTGGAGCGGCTCCAGCCTGTGCTACCTCCCATCTCCACAGGGCCCTACCTGTGTGAGCTGCTGGAGGAGATGGCCGATAGTGTGGCCAGCCCAGAGGAAGAGGATGAGGAGGAACCTGCCGTGTTCCCATGCATCGAGTGTAGCATCTATTTCAAGCACAAAGAACACCTCCTAGAACACATGAGCCAGCACCGCCGAGCCCCCGGCCAGGAGCCCCCGGCGGACTTGGCCCCCCTGGCCTGCGGCGAGTGTGGCTGGGCCTTTGCTGATCCCACTGCCCTGGAGCAGCACCGGCAGCTCCACCAGGCCTCCCGGGAGAAGATCATAGAGGAGATCCAGAAGCTGAAGCGATTTCCAGGTGATGAGGGCCGTGAGGCCCGCCTGCAGTGTCCCAAGTGTATCTTTGGCACCAACTCCTCCAGGGCCTTTGTTCAGCATGCTAAGCTGCATGCGTTCGAGCCGCCCAGCCAGCCTGCCAAGGAGCCTTTTGGGGGCAGCAGCAGGGCCGGAAGCCCAGGGCCCGATGCCAGCACCCTTGTCTATCCACCCTATGGAGCCGCCTCAGGCCTCAGTGCCTGTGTCTTCTGTGGCTTTCCCGCACGAAGCGAGAGCTTGCTCAGGGAACACATGAGGCTCGTGCATGCACGTCCCCACTGGGAGGAGGATGGCGAGGCCTTTGAGGAGGACCCCACCAGCCAGCCAGGCACTAGCCAGGATGCATACACCAGCTTCCCCGACACCGCTGCCATGGACTACTTTGGCAAAGCTGAGCCACTCTTGGCCCCCATGTGGCGGGAGAACCCTGCTGGATACGACCCGGGCCTGGCTTTTGGCCCAGACTGCCAGCAGCTGGGCATGAGGGATTTCCCACTGTCAAAGCCACTCCCACACCACTCCAGCCAGAGGCCTCTCGGAAGGTTGGTCTTTCCTTCCCCACTGGCATCTACCCCTTACCCCATACAGCTCAGTAGAAACAGAAGCACTGTTTGTCCACAGGGGCTGGGGGACCAGAGACATCCTTGGAGTGAAGAGGAGGAGGAAGATGAGGATGTGGTGTTGGCTTCCGAAATGGATTTTTCCTCTGAGAATGGGGTCTTCCCGCCCCCAGCCGCCCCCAGCCTCATCCCCCAGCCAGCCCTAGAGTTGAAGCGCACTTTCCAAGTTGTCCTGCAGGCAGCAGAGGCCTCGAGGGTACAGCGGCAGCAGCTCAGAGGGATGGTGCCCATTGTTCTGTTGGCGAAACTCCAGCCACAGGTCATAGCCGCAGTGGCCAGGGCACCCCCAAGGCTGCAGCCTGAGGAGTTGGGTCTGGGGGTCACCCACCCTCTGGATTTCCTGCTCCTGGATGCTCCGCTGGGCGGCCCACTGGGGCTGGACACACTCCTGGAGGGAGACCCGGCCATGGTCCTGAAGAACGAGGAGCGGAAATGCCCCTACTGCCCAGATCGCTTCCACAATGGCATCGGCTTGGCCAACCACGTTCGGGGCCACCTGAACCGCGTGGGCGTCAGTTACAACGTGCGGCATTTCATCTCTGCAGAGGAGGTGAAGGCCATCGAGCGCAGGTTTTCCTTCCAGAAGAAGAAGAAGAAAGGTAGGGGGGTTTTGCTTCAACACCCACCTCCTTCTCCTTCTGAGGCCTGAGAGCCACATGGCCAGGCAGCTGAGTTCTAAACCCCACTAACCTCACTTTAAATCCCCTAGCACCATGCAGAGTGAAACTGGGGACACCCTCCGGAGGAGACCTAGTAGGAGTCACAGCAAAGGTCACCACCAAAGATCAGTGGATGTATGGGGATGCTCCAGTGTCCTGGCCATGCTGGCAGCCAGAGGAAGGGGGCTGGGCAGAGGAATGGGGCCCAGGGAGAGTTCCATTTAACTCTCTGAGCAAGTTCCCTTCTGTTCTTGGCACTGGGGGACCACCAGTAAATGAAACAGCAGTTCTTGCCCTCCTCAAGTCCATGGCCTAGGCCAGAAGCAAGGAGACTGTTGGTAGGCTTCAGAACTTGGGATGCCTATGGGATATGAAGACTCCAGGGCCACAAAGTTCTGATTCTAGAGGTTGGTTTCCAAAGGGAGCTGGTAGTTCTGGGTGGTTTTGACATCAAAAGTCATGGAGCCCACTTAGGGAGATGTTGGTATGGAGTTTGGCATGTGAGTGTTGTGTGTATAGACGAGGAGACAGTCAAGGAGTAGACCGCCAGCAAAGCAGGTAGTAAGACATTGCAATGGGAACTCGGGAAACCAGGAGGCTGGGAAAGCTGAGAGGAAATCCTTGACTTCACCTGGGTGTTCAGAGAAGGCTGACAGGGTAGGGGGGGTATTGTGTCCTCTGTGTATTTCTTCATGCCACACATATTTAATTCATAGCACCGAGGCAATGGTGAGCAAAAATAGACATGAGGAGGTTTTCTACTGAGCATGCAGATGATTGCAAATTGCCCAATGGGGAGGGAGGACCCAGGAGATCAAGCTTGCCAGCAAGGAGAGGTGGGTGCACAGAGGTGTGGGGCAAGCAGGACAAGAAGGGGAGGCAGGCCATCCAGGGTGATTCACAGAGGGAGAGGCGTTGGGGCTGGAGAGTGGCCCCGCCCCACCCCACCCTACTCCACATAGTCCATGTCCTCTCTCTGCAGTGGCCAACTTCGACCCAGGTACCTTCAGTCTGATGCGGTGTGACTTCTGTGGGGCAGGATTTGACACACGGGCCGGCCTTTCCAGCCATGCCCGGGCACACCTACGAGACTTTGGCATCACCAACTGGGAACTCACCGTCTCGCCCATCAACATCTTACAGGAGCTGCTGGCCACTTCAGCGGCTGAGTTGCCCCCCAGCCCTCTGGGGCGCGAGCCCGGTGGGCCACCTGGCAGCTTCCTGACCTCCCGCCGGCCACGCTTACCTCTCACCGTTCCTTTCCCACCCACCTGGGCTGAGGACCCTGGGCCGGCCTATGGAGATGGTAAGGCGAGGAGGGGGCAGGTAACTGGAGCTCAGAGGGATGGAGGGAGGGAGGTGGACACTCTACTTTTCTGAATCATTTCCTGTCACTTTACAAAGTATATTATTGGCAACCTACCTCTTCAGTAAGGATAGTCAGGAGTCTCTTAGGAGTCATTTCTGTTTCATTCAGGGGCTGGGCCAGGGTCCCTTTCTGGATCCAGTTTCTCCCTGCAAATGCTTATTGAGCTCTTACTAGGAGCCAGCATTGTTACTTTATAGTGACAAACTTATTGAGAGTCTCACAGTGGTCCTAGAAAGGTGGTTGATATCATCCCCATTTTACAGAAGACAAACTGAGGCACAGAGAACTTAACCAGCCCAAGGTTACACAGCCAGAGAGACTCCAGATTCTTTCTTTCTTTTTTTTTGTTTTTGCTTTTGTTTTTGCTTTTTGAGCAAGGTTTCACTGTGTAGTTCAGGCTGGCCTTGAACTCACTATGTAGTCCAGGCTGGCCTCAAACTTGTGGTGAGTGCTTAGCTATCAAGCACTTGAAATGTGCTTAGTACTTAGCCACTGGTCATCCTATTGGATGGTGCAGATCTAGAGACCAGAGTCTAGATTTTCAGCCAATGTCTGCTTTGTCTGGCAACACTGATAAACTCTTCTCATACTTGAGTACTTGCTGTGCTAAGCTTTCAACCTGTATCATCTCAGGTTTGCTTAAAAATGAGTCTGTGGTGCCAAGAGTTTTGTTGCTGCTGCTGCTACTGCTGTTTTGGGGAGTTTGCTTCTTTTGTTTTTGTAGTCCTGGATAAAACCCAGGGCCTTGCATATGTTAGGCAAAAGTTATACCCTTGGGCTACATACATCCCCAACCCTAGGTTTGTTGAGTACCCATTTTATGGATAAGGAAACTGTATCATCTGTTTTGCCCTAGCCACACAGGCAGAACTGACTTCTGAGCACGTCATTTGCTGGTTGTCCTTAGAAGTCTCCTCCCCTCTCCCAAGTGGAGGGGATGTGTTCCAGGTTGGGGGAGGGGCAATGGCCACATTCTGGTCCCACCCAGCTGTCAAGGAACAGCTGGGTGTAATCCGTTAGGAGTTGGAGCGGGAGAAGCAGGCAATGCTTGAAATGTAGGTAGTGGCGGGCCGGCAGAGTTCCCTGGGACTATGGGACACCTGGGGAATGTTGGGGGGAATATTCGTGGTGAGGATCAGGTGACTTCCAGGGTTGTCGACCCGGAGGAGACTTCTAGGGGAAAAAATGGGGCAGGGTTCCAGGGCAAGTCATAGCTCCGCCCGTCGAAAGGCTGAATGCTAATTTTGAGGTGCCGGCGTGTAGCTTAGAGCATTCCCATCTTAGACCCAGGGCTGGAGGGGCAGTTGGAGGCTGCTCAGCGCGTGGCCTGCCTGCAAGGGTGAGCTGGGACTCGAAAGGCAACTCTCAAGGGTCTGCAGCTGTCGTTTTTGAATTGCTCACAAGAGAGGTTGGCTCTTGGAGCTCGGCGCTCGACAGGCCGACCTGGGCGCG